GGGGGGGGGGGGAGGGCATCCATCTGATTGAAAAATTGCAGGCCATCTAATCCGGAGCTGTCTGTGTTTAGACATCGCGCGGGACCGCCGATGAAAGAGAGTAGGGGCTTAATCAGTTAGTCGATAGGCAAATTGGCTTAAAAAGAAAGAGAGAGAGAGAGAGACCGGAGTGCACCGGGGTGGTTTACTGCTTCACGCCGCGAGTACAGACGACAAAGAAATCGCAGCACCGGACGTGCAGTGGACGAGCGACGCGCGGCTCGTCGACCGACCCGACCGTGCGATCAGACTTGACGACGTAACTAGCGTTATTCCTAGCGGATTTCCCGAAGGCTTCGCTCGCGCTGTGTTTGTGAAAAGACCATCCCTCGCACGCTGAGGGGGATACCCCGTGGACCGAAACGCGACCGACGTGACCCTCGTAGCGCACGCGCGCGCGCCTCAAGTCGAATCTGACGAAAGAGGCCCGAAGAAGCGGAAGGAGAAGAGGAAGCGGTAATCGAGAGGCAGGTCCACCGCAGCTCACGTTTAGATTCTCTCGTGGATACTTCGCAAGCATCCGAACCAATTGTCGGTAATTCCGCTCGATGATTCCCGACGACGACGGATCTTTGTATTGTGCGTCTCTCTCGATCGATAGGGTAATCGTCACCGTCGGGCGCGAAGGAGAAATTCACGAGCGGAAACTTGAGCAAGAGTGTCACGACGACACTCCTAAAGCTGGGTACACACCGAGCGGACGAATAAAGAACGAACGTCGAAACGCAAACTTTGATTGTTACAATCTGGAATGACTGATCCTGTGTGCGTGCACTATACACGGTAAAAAATGTCGTGTTAAAACCCGTCTGAATGGTGAACGGTGGTGTCGAAAAGTTTTTGGCACAATTTTTCTGTTATTTTAACACGGGGAATCTATTAACGCCCGAAATACTGAGCGGTCATTTCTGACCGTTTCTATTTTTTTTTTAGATCAGTATCCTATTTCTTACGTGAAAGATAGGATCCCGAAATTTTATGACTTTTCGTTAATAATTTAATAAAGGAAATGATTGATAAAAAATAATAAAATTTCAGAATGCTCTCTTTTACACGAGAAATAGAGTATTAATCTAAAAAATAGAAACGGTCATGAATGATTGCTGAAAAGTACACAAATATATATTAAATTAACATATCAACCTTATTGACATGTTACTTTTTAACACATTCACCTTGTTAAAGTAACATACAAATTTCAGTGGGTCATTTTTAACATAAAATTTTTTACTGTGTGGCGAGTCCGAACAGAACGTTTCGTGTCGATTTGTTTATAAGGAAGATTTTCAAAGAAAGTTTGTGCGCGTTTAGATGCGTTTAGACGCGAATATGCATATTCATATTGCACATTCGCTATTCGTTCGTCGTTCGCTCAATACACCCAGTTCAAGATGCGCTCGATTGCCGAAAGCGGTCGCAAATATACCCGAAGCTTCAGTACCTCGCCTTTAAGTACGTCGTATATGATATTTGACTCCGTGTCTTCGAAATGTGTTGAATAATACGAGTCATCATTTCTTAAATTTACAAGTAAAAAATCGAGATATAATTGTTCCTCCCACAATTATTAATTATCCCTTAAATATTCTCGCTGCTTCCTTTGTATCACGAATCGAACTTTCTTCATTTCCACTGCACAACGTCCTGCTTCGTGAAACTTGATTTCGATATTACAAAAGGACGCGCACGCGTTCGAAGTTACGCGTTATTGGATTCAAATCGGGCCGATCTCGCCTGCGTGAAGCCACGGGGAACCTTGTTTCGCAGTTGTAAAAATTAATGCGGGGCCGCCCTCTCTTTTAAGAGGTACGCTTTACGGAAGATGATTCAAGGCGATGTCTTAAGAGCAAGAGCTTAAGCTGCTACTATGCGACTACAAACTCGCCGGTTGATTTTCTCCTATCTAGGCTCGGCTTAAACCCCGACTGTGAATTACCGCTCTTACAGCTGACTGTAAAATTTCTCCCGAACACGAACACACGGGAAAAAGGCCGTTGAATCGACAGAATTTCCAGCAGCAAGCGTGATTGAAGTAAATGTTCTTGGTTCAACCAGCGATATCACTGAAACTAACACTTTCATTATCAAAACAATACAAAACAATACACGACACAGTAGTTCTAATGATATTCACCATTGAGTCGAGGCAATTAACTCCTATTACGCTGCGCTTGGAAATCCTCTATCGATTCCAACAGCATTTTCTTTCCCCGTGCGGAGAGCGGAGTTCCTTACTTCGAGAGATTATCAAGTGATAAGCTCTCGCGAAAAATCTGTGCGATTGGCGAGGAAGCCTAGCGTGCCGACGTAAAATGTTGATTTACTTGCGAAACGACTTTTGATCATTCGATTAAGGTCCACGCGTCTGGGCCGCGATCGACGATTGACGTGACGACGACGTGGTGATCATCGAAATCCGCGGCTAATGACGCCCCGATCCTCGCGCCGGTGGCTTCGTCCGCGAGACGTCACGTTCGAATGTAATTCGGATGCTCATTGATCCACAAGGGAGCCGAGCGAGCGATCGAGATCCGGCGGGAAGGATTTTCGGGTCGAGCGGCTGATAGCTTCCGTTCGATCCTCGTCGCGAGCATTCGCCGGATTTCCGAACGATAGAATGTGCAGCTGATCGGTGAGTGGAAAATTGGATCGAAAAAGCGCGCCGCGCGCTTGCGGCTGCGTGCGTGAGGAAGGGGTTGGGGGGGGGGGGAGGGGGGAAGGTCCATGAGGATTTAATAACAAGATAAACGCGACAAATCGCGCAGTAGGCGCACGTTCTTGGAGAATTCGTGCTTTAGGTCGTCAGAGTTCGTAAAAACGCGAATGTCCCGGTTAACGCGGATTCGCGCGGAAAAACCTCGGATCCACCTCCGCGACGATTCGTGGAAATCGAGCCGAGGCCGGGAAAACAAGGCCTAGTTTTCCGTCGTCGCAGAGATTTTAACGAGAGTCATGCGCGTTATTTTAATCACGCGGGCTCGCGGGATTCACGACGACGGGCGGCGCGCCGGTAATGAATTGGCCGCTTATTGCTCGTCGAAACGCGACGCTATTGACAGGGGACAATAAAAGCGCGCGATAATTCGGAATTATCGATGACCGGTTGGGAGGCGCGCGTCTGACTCGAGTTAATTATGCAGTTACGTTGCAATATTAATAGACCTATACGCGTCGGAGTGTGTAACGCGAGGCTGAAGGAGGCGAGCGGAGTCGTATCCGCTCTCGGAAGAGAGGCTCCGCTGGTGTGCAGCCTTTGATGTCCGAGAGAGAGAGAGAGAGAAAGAGAGAGCCGGCGAGTTCAAAACGATCTCATCGATCCCTCCTCGCGCCGATGAATACTTTATGGCGTTCTCAGCATACTTCGTCGCGTGCTTACCTGCGCCGGCTCTCTTTCTTCTTCACGCTGAGTTCCAGCCGACGTTACACCCCTCACACCCTTGCAAACCCCAGGATATGTTCCCCTTCTCGCTCGCACTCACTCACTCGTTACTCATTCTTTAGGTATGACGGGCCACTCGCTGGTGATCATATGCTGCTACTTGTACACCCTGCTCAACACGGCAGCCCCGCACTTCTCGTGAGTACACGCGAATCAGCGCGCCCTTCGCTCGTCGAACGACGAGGGTCTCTTTAGCACACAACGACTTCGTTATAACGAGGGAATCCCGTTACTAGCGGAAGCGTGCCCGAAATTTTAGTTCTACGTTAAAACAGCAAACACCCGTTCGGGTGTTTCCCAAACGTTCCTGAGCATATCGTAGATCTAATCAGATTATTCCAAGTTGTCCCAAATGAGTGGTAACATATTGCGATATTACACCAATTGGACATCAATTAGAAATCCCATTTTTATCCTAATTGCATAAGAAAACTTGAGGAAAATGTTGGATAGAGAATCTGTCTAGATTTCCCAATTTGAAACCGCAAATTTATTCAGTGGATTAATCGGAACAGATCCCGATTAAATCCTATAAAATTGTTTACTTGAGAGAAACCAGATAGCTCCTATTTTCTCTGCCAAAAGCTTTTCAGATATTTTATTCAATATAAATATAAAATAGATATCTAAGAAGAGGAAACTTGAGGTAAATGTTGGACGGAGAAAATAGAATCTGCCTGAGTTTCCTATTTAGAATTGCGCCTCGGACATTGGACAGAGAAAATGGAATTGATCAAAGTTCCGTTAATTGTACGAGGAGCCTGATTAAATGTAAACATTAAATATAGATAATGAATTAATGTCGACTGAAAATATTAAGGTTTCTTTTCTGCCCGTGTTGCGTGTCCGGCCGAAATAAATCTGAACTGTAGGGGTTCCATTCTCGTTTCAACGTGACTTTTACAGCGTGAGTTCTATTTTCACGGTAATATGATGCCCGTTTCATCGTAATTTGCATCGGACTCCGCGTCGTGTGATACGCAATACACGTTTCGGTGTGATGCAATATACGTTTCGCGCATGAACGCGTTTACGATTTGGCGTCGCATGCACACACACACACATGTACGTCTCCGCAGTCGTGTCTCGCGCAACGCGGTTATTTCTTAATCAATAGCCGCAATCGGACACTAATTGAACAAAGAAAGTCGCGCAGTTAGCGATCGTGACGTGTACGATGGCTGGCTCGCTTGGGGGAAATGGCATCCACTCTGTGATAATAAAACTGCCAACAGCTTGCATTCGGTTCTTGCGCCTGTGAATAATTTATGAACGTCGCTGATGCTGCAATAAAAATCGCCGTAGTCGGGCAGCGATACCGTCTGTTGGAAGCTATTGTTTCATTTTTAAAGGGCCATCGCTGTAAATTGATCACGCTCCAAAATTTCAAGCCGCGACGCGCCGCTTTTTTGTCACAGTGAGCGATTAAACAGTTCATCGAATTAGTTTCCCATACCGACTCGATAACGGAAAGGTGATATGTTCGGAAATATTATTGAAATTAGATCTCTGGATATTAATTATTGTCCGTTAATTTTCTTACAACGAGGTTGAAAAGTCTCGTTGACATTCGTATTTGTAATATTGGTATATTGGAACGCGATGCGTTCGAGAAAGCTAGAAACCGGCAGCATCTAGAAACGAGAAAATTCTTGAAAGTCTCGTTACAGATTATCGGCTTGGCGGGTTTCACAGTGTTATAAGGCGATTTTACAGAAACCTAAGTCTGCTGCGTTCTAATCTAACAATCGTCGGTAGTTGAAATATATATATATACGTTTTCTACTGCGTTATATATACGCTATCGGCTAATAACGTATAATTTTATCGACGAAGATTTCGTCACCAAACGATATAAACGAATACTCCGTCGAAGACGATTCGGCACAGTCAGGAATAATCTTTGACAGAAGGCACGAACGAGGTGCGTGAATGAGCGTGAATAATGTCAATTAGCAAGTTATCTTCTGCGGCTTTTGATATTTTAGAAAGCTAGACTTTGATGAATACGGAAAGAAGGAGGCCTCGTTGTCTCTGAAAGACATCCTACCTTTGAATCCGAAGCAGTACGACAAGCACAGAGCACCGAAATTCCACGGACAACCCACTGTCGTTTATTTCCACGTGACGGTGCTCAGCCTGGACTCGATAAATGAGGAATCGATGGTAAGTGAGACCAACGTAAGCACCACGCCGGGCAATTCGTCCTTCTGTTTATTACGATCCCCCCAAATGAGATCACATCCTTTATTTCTACAGTATAGACCTACTTATATATCAAAATCACGTACATCAAACTGATGAGATATAATAATCTGACAGGATGTAATCCGATAAGATATAATTTACGAAAGAAAATGTTTCATTTGAAAATATATAACACAGAGATATATAAAACATGTAAAATATATAAAATAAATTTTACGCTGTTGTACTCGTTGGTAAGATCAGTCAAAAGCTATTTTCTTTTTATTTCACTTTCTATATGTAAATATAATTGAACATGTAATTATTTAATTGTATGTTATGTTATTGTATATGTATATATAAATGTATGTACAATTTCTATATGCTCTATACGTATATATAACTTAGATTTTCATATAAAATTATAAATATATATGAAACATTAACAGTACATATAAATTATATATATAAGTCAAATGTTTAATTTATTATATACATATATTTTATATACACACATCGTGTTCTTATATATTATTTATATTATTATTATATATAAACATTCTCGTTCACGCAATAACGATTGGTAGAAAACACGAGCTCGTGCGATGAGTGTTTACGAGCGAGAACGAACTGCGCTTTCGTCAAATTTTCCCCGGGTCACAAGTTCACGACGGATGCGTAGTCAGAGCGGGAGCGAGCGTTAAATTAGCTAAATCTTTCATCCGGGGGAGAGAATAATTATGTCGTCTGCACACGGTCGCACGTGAGACGCAACATCTGTTCAGGTTGTTTTTCCACGGCGACAGACGTACGTGGCCGACATATTTCTCGCGCAGAGCTGGCGGGACTCTAGGCTGAGGTTGCCGGAGAACATGTCCGAGGATTACAGGATACTCGACGTCGATTGGCTGCACAACATCTGGAGACCCGACTGCTTCTTCAAGAACGCGAAGAAGGTCACCTTCCACGAGATGTCGATACCGAACCATTATCTCTGGCTTTATCACGACAAGACGCTGCTCTACATGTCCAAGTAAGACCTATAGCATGTTTCTAATACTTACATCCGCTGTTTTCGTACGTCATTTCTGGACATTTAGCGATAAACACGGTTGCACGGGTTTCGTCTGACACGAGAAGAGTGCATATCGCGTTTCGACGAACGATATTATTAATGATAAAAATGATAAGAACCTTTTCAGTGCTCAAAGTATCATCTTTATCTATCTCCCCACTATCTCTCTAATTAAATCAAGAAAGACTAATAATACGCTAGAATACTTTGTTAGCGAGTCGACGCCGTTTATACACAAAGTTGAAATCAAATAACCGCGTTTAACGCTAAACGCGCGGTCCCCGCAGAAGCGGAGTTTCCCGCAACAGCGGAAATTATATTTGTCGGTGTGAAAGTACTAGTTAAAAACCTTTCATCTTCCCGTCCCGTAACTTTCACAGCTTCGGAAAGTTACTTTCACCACCTCATTAAACAAGCAAGAGCTAAATGCGAAGAGGAAACCAACGAAATCCCTCTCATAAATATCCTTCGACGACGAGTAACGTTCGAATTATGCGAAATAACAAATGACCGGCGGAACGTTCGCAATTAAGAAGAAACATTCGAAACTGAGCATCCGAGCTTCTCTCGTTTTTTCTTCCCCCTTCCCCTTACCCCCGATCGGTCGAGCGCTGTGGATCGTCAAATGTCGGAAAAGAACGAGGAAATAATCGCGACAAGAGAGATACTTTACGGAGGGGTGCGAATAACCGCCATTGATATATCGCGACTACGAGCTCACACGTACGTTCTTTCCCGAGGAGAAGCGTGCCGTAGTGCCGCGGGAAATATTAACGTACTCTTTCCTCATGCCGCTATTATAAAAGCACTTTGCTCTCTGCGCGAACGAAACTGTCGCAGTGAGATACGCTCGCGAGGTCCCGGCATTGGTGCTCGGAGAAAAACTCGAAGCTGCGAAACTTATCGCGAGTTTCCCAGCGCGGCCTTCTCGTAAGCGAAATAGTATTAACTCTAGTCTTCTCTAACCGATTGCGCGATAACTGCAGCGTCATGCCGCGTTTTCCTCTTCTTTCTTCTCCCCGTTACAATTCCCATGTTTATGTACTTCATTTTTAGTACACATTTAGTACATATCTATACGTATTATATATATTATAATATCTATACATTTTATACATATTTATCTATAATTATATAAGACGTTAAATCAATGTTTCTTTTTTTTCATTTTCACGGACTTTTCCATTAAATTATTTCAAATCGATTGTTTATTCGTCAAAGCGTCGAAACGGTGAGCAATCGTTGTGGATGCGACGCGACGCACACGGAGCATCAATCACGACGAGGACGATTATGTGTTTCGAGTCAATGTGTCGTTTTCGCTTCTCGCGATAGTATGCCCGTGTCGACCTCGCTTATTCTCATCTGCGGGCAATTTTAATACAATGCTGGACCCGGGGTGGACAAGTTGCTGCTGTGCACTCCACAATTTTGTCAAATTTTATTGCCAATCGAGCGATACGGATTTCTCTCTCGTTACGAACGGCCGTGCCGTACTGTCGAGGGAGGAGAGGAAAAAACAAAGCGAGGGCCGCTTCACCGTTTGTTTGCCATTCGCGAAACTAGCGACTATCGAGTTAATTCACCCGCCGCTGCAGATTGAAGTGTAATTTGATTAATAGGAGTATCGCGTTACTTTACATTAGCGGGAGTGCAGAGCGAAACGCAATATTCGTTTCAGATTGACATTGGTGCTCTCCTGCGCGATGAAGTTCGAATCCTACCCTCATGACACTCAGATTTGCTCGATGATGATCGAGAGCCGTGAGTACATAACAAATAACAATCCGTATCGTAACGTAGTACGCGCAGATGCGAGTCACGGTATTGTCCGTGCTCGGCGACGTGGAAAAGCAGACACTTGTGCAGACACACGCGCTTACGATCTTCGTTTACTCGTGCTTGTTACTAATTATAACGCAAATTGTAATAAGTAATGAACAATAGTGATAAGTAATAATTTTAATATATTTTGCCAAATTAGGTATTTACTGTGAGAAGAAGAAATTACGAAAGTAAGAATCGCTTCAATTATTTTCACACCTCTGTAACATATAAATAACTTTCGATCTGATTGTGACAATTCAGGTAGATCTGCGCGTTTCTGTAAAACAGAGCAAACATCATCAAGGACCATTCAACAATTACGTCACGCTAAATTTGAGAATTTTTGCCCTTCCTCCCACCTTTTCGCTTCTTTTTCTAAGATACATGTAATATTTTCAGGCATATAATATCAAATCAATCACTTTACCTTATAATTTTAATTAGCAAAAGTTATGTTTTTAAAAGAGTAAATATTAAAAAATTAACATTTTGATTATTAACACAAAGCCATGTCGAAACTTGAAAATTTTCGCCAAATGTAACGCGAATTTAACCAAATGCGTCACGAGTGCGCAAACAAAATGGACAAATGGACGCGCGTTTATATTTACAAGTTATGCCATTTAATTGGACGTTCCACGGCCTTTGCTCTCTCTTTCCTACCATTACAGACTGTCACGTAAGCTAATGGATCCCCCCTCCCCTCCTTCGTGACGTAATTGTTGAGTGGCCTCATTAGAATTCTTCATACATTGTTAGAATTCTTTACGCCCTCGGCGTCGATCGATAGACAGAGAAGCGTCAGTCCGTCGGCGGGAGACATCGGTGGTACACCTCCAAATCTTATGTAACTTTTATATAATTTATTACGCAATAATATCGACCGTTCGCCGTTGTTTACTTCTTCACAACCGGTGATTTCTTTTTATACCACACACGTATACACGTCGCACTTCTTCCCTCGTATTCCGCGTGTATCGCACATTTCAGTCTCGCACACGACCCAGGACCTGATATTCCTGTGGAACACAACGGATCCCCTGGTGGTTAATCCGGAGATCGAGCTGCCGCAGCTCGACATATCGAACAACTACACGACCGACTGCACGATCGAATACTCGACCGGAAACTTCACGTGCATACAGATCGTCTTCAATCTGCGCCGGAGACTGGGCTATCACCTGTTCCACACGTACATCCCATCCGCCCTGATCGTCGTCATGTCCTGGATCGCCTTCTGGATCAAGCCGGAAGCCATCCCGGCGCGGGTCACCCTCGGTGTGACGTCACTGCTGACCCTCGGTAATGCGCGACCCTTTCCCTACCTCCTCCCTATCTCTATCCGATTGCTCGCGGTGACTATTCATGATATTTGCGATTAGGATGAGGCTTTGTCCCCCCAGCTCTACGCTCGATTGGCTAGAAACGCCAGCAGAGCCGTAATTCGCGAAAATTCTTAGTCTTTTCGCCGATACTTCGTTAAGCCGAAACCGAACGCAGCAACTCACTGCGATAGTCGCGCGCGTGCGTGCTTTTTCATATCGGAGCAAAAATAAACGGGGATTCGATATAATTCGATATCGTGGGTTATTAATGGCCGATATCAATTCCACCCGCGATAATCATTGAAGAGTGCGCCGATGTGCGCAAATGATAAAACACCGCTGAAACGCCGGATCGGTGATAATTCTCGAGAGTCGTTTAATTACATTTACACCCGACGTACAATTACATTTGACACCCGACTCTCATCTGCTTTGTCATCGCGCTGTCGATTGGATCTCACGCTGACGTGTGAAATCACGAATAAGAGAGTCCTTTTTATCACCGATAAATTTTGATTTTACCACACACGAGAGAAAGTTACAGTTATTTTCGGTGCCAACAGTATCCTTTCGTTATTTTAAACCACAAAAATAGTCAAGAGAACTATTTTTCCAGCAAGCGTTATTACGACGGTGATAACAACATTACGTGCATGTTGTCACCACTATTTTTGTTTGGTTAAATTAACAAAAGGACATTTCTCACAGCACCGGAAACAAATATAATTTTCTCTCATAGAGTGTACTGTTATTACGATTTTTTATATATAATTTTACATTAAAATGATCAGGTTACGATTTCGAGCTTTTGCGTATATTGCGGGATGGCAACGAAATCTCCCGTGCGATGCTATCATTATCTCCATGTACATTTATTGCACTTAATAATTTGATATCAAATTTCATGCTATTAATATCGTAACATACATTGTGATTGTCGTTGATACATTAATTTCGAATTTTAGCGATAAAGCGTTTGCGATAAATTCACATCCTCCGGCAAATTAAACTTTCCCGCGCAATAACACCGCGGTTTAACTTCTTAATTCTCACGCGTGAACATCGATGTGAATATTTATAGCAGGCACACAGAGAAAAAGGTTTCTTCAGATCTAGTATTTCTATTTATCCGACTGAAATTTGTTCCATAGAAACAACGTGTACTCATACGAGATATTATTTGTTCGAGTAAAAATAGTATCGTTCAAGAAAACTTTATCATTTAACTCTATTCTTTAACTCTATTATTATTTCAAACAATGGCGTTCTTTGGAGGATGCCAATGATGAAATTTGTCTGGATGCGACAGAATTGCTGAGATATGAAGAAATCTTGATCTCAGTGCGGCCGTTAGCTCCTATCGCATCGATCGACTCGTACTCACGTGCCGGAGGTTAACGTTTCCCTCGCTTTCAGCCACGCAGAACACGCAATCCCAGCAGTCTCTGCCGCCGGTGTCGTACGTGAAAGCGATCGACGTATGGATGTCCTCGTGCAGCGTGTTCGTCTTCCTCTCCCTGATGGAATTCGCGGTGGTGAACAACTATATGGGACCGGTCGCCACAAAGGCCATGAAAGGCTACTCGGACGAGGATCTTCGAGAGGCCATCGACGACTTCAAGGTAAACCGAAGGGAGCGAAGCGCCGGTATTTGCCGGTGTTCTGTTGGATGCAACCCGCCAGCTTCGAAATTGATAGCCGAGATAAAGCAAAACACACGGCCCCGTCGCTCCGCGTGCAACGGGGATTTCATTCCGTCCCGCTCGGCGATATCGTCGAATAAAAACACCAGTCGAACAAACGACGCCGCGTTGTAAACCGCGCGACCGTTATAAATTATCGACGCTCGTGGGCCCGTAAAGATCGCCGAGACGGAGGACGAAGATAAATGAAGCTGAAGGGAGACGCTTTATCCGCTTAAACCTTTTAATCCTTAATTTGCAAAAATATCCCCTTGGAATATACCGTAAAGTAATTTATGAAAGGGAATAAACACGAGGAGCGTTTTACGAGCATTTATATTTCGGCACGGTTTTAGAAAATCCGTATGATCGGACTTTTCTCATTTTCAACACTCCAAATCGCAGTGAAAACCTCTCGAAGTACAGATAATCGCGTCTGTTCTCGCGCTCGCGCAAGTTTAACGAACGTAATTTATCTCACAATAGAAAGGTAATGAGTATCCGTACGTTTAAAAGCGTGCGCTTGAATCTCTCGAGAAATCCCTGAAACCTCCCTCCGTTTTTATTCGAAATTCAAGCTTCTCGATTCGCCGCAGTACAGTAGCATCGCTTTGATTCGAGATAAAAGAGCGATACCGGCGAAATGAGATTTTACGACCTCCATCGTGTCCGACTTTGTAACCGGGAGCGTCTCTTCTCTTTGCTTAATGCGCGACTGCCGCAGTCGCGCGGAGTTTACTTCCGATTCCACCCCGAATGGTACGACGGTAAATGGCATCGGCGGCGGCATTCGTGCCGCGCACGGTGAAGTATCGTCGTTCGAAGTGCACACCATACTCTCCCGGACGACCGTTTCGTATCGCGAGTAACTTCCCCGACAACTTCGCCGCCGAGCAAGTTCCGAAGTTTTATTTTATCGCGAGCGCATTCGTCCGTCCCGGCGGAGTCGGTCCTCGCGGCGGGGAGGGAAGGAAAAATATTTGTTCCCTCCACCTTTCTCTTACGGCGGTTTACGCGTCGACTTTGCAGTTCGTACTGCGCGACACACAGAAATAGAGAGGGAAAGAGAGAAGGAGAGAGAGAGAGAGAGAAAGGGAGGCTCATCCCGCCGCTTTCATTACAACCGTCGTAATATTTGCTCACGTCAGTGCGACGGTTTTACTCTCAGTTGGCATCACGATAATAAAACGTTCGCGCTTGCACGCAAAACAAGTGTTTTGCGCGCGCAGCTGCGCTACGTGAAAGTTACGCTTTACGCCTCGCAGTTAAATACGTTTCCCGCGATTACCACGCGGTCTCCTCCAATCCCGGGGATGATCCACGATTTGACTCTTCGCGTTTCTCGCGTGGCAATCAGTCGACGCAATAGAAGCAACGATAATATGTGCAAAAGGAAAAATTGTCCGCTGGCGCAGCAAATTGCTTCAGTATGGTGAGAGTGGAAGGATTTGTTTGGACAACGAAAGACTTGTTTAAAGCGAGACGATTTGATTGATATTTGCTGGATATATGAAAATAATGTTCTTATTTACGCCAAATAAATTGTATTGCTGTCGCAACGGATTGCTGTCGAAACGCAAGCATTCTTGCTACAACAGAATAATTTCTTCCGCGTAACAAATCTTTCAGAATTTATTGCGCCAGCAAAGTTGTTCTCCAAGTGTGTGTTGTTCTTATCATTATTAATGAGCTTATTATTATTAATGGTGTATGTATATCGTTCATTATTATTAATTTATCGTTATCATTAGTGGTAATATACGTATTAATGTTTGCGTTACATATTATTATTACAAGAATAATAGTAATATGCAACAATATCCGTGTACTTACCTGACGGCAATAAATATCGGTTCGGAATTCGAAAACTGACTGTAGACAAAGAAGAAAACAAAGAAGAGAAGGTGGGAGAAAAAGGAGGGAGGACGCAGATCGGAATAAGAAACGTGTACAACCTGGATTGATTTCCCACTGCTGTTTCTCCGTTTATTTTCCCGTTCTATTTCCCGTTTATCGCTCTCACATGCCGCGTAACATGGCGCGTGATCTCGTCTTGCAGACGCGGATCAGGTCGGACGCCGAGAGAAGCAGAAGTCCGACGAGGCCGCCGACGATGCAGTACGAACGGTGCTGCCGAGGACGCGCCACCGCCGTTTACATCGACAAGATCTCCAGATTCTTCTTCCCGTTCTCGTTCTTCATCCTCAACGTCGTCTACTGGAGCACCTTCCTGTAACGCAAGTCGGCGAGCGAGACGCGCGCCCCCGGCTCGGCGGGAGCCGCCGGATGCACTTTTACAGAGTTCGAATTCACGGGGAAGGGTATCGCGCGAGGCGACACAGCAATAAACGCCGAAGGTGTTTGTATCCTGTAAGATACCATATGTAAAATACGGCACAATAAATGAGTTCAGCAACAGTGGGATCGAGTGCACGCGTTTCTCTATCGAGGGTACATCGTGTGATCGCGAAACTCGCCAGTACGTTTTGTTTTGATCGCAAATATATAGAAAAAATCCCCGACAATCTGGGATGGGTCCGAGCGATCGGCGTTAAAATGGCTGTCGCGAGATACGTTGGAAATATTCACGTAACAAATTGCGGGTCATATTGCGAAACAAATATCACCGAGATTGATTTTAACCAATATTGACTGATTTAACTGTCAATTCAATTTACTCATTCGAGGTGCGTCCCGTACCTCGGCTGAGATTGCATTTTGCAAGGAACATTTTGCCTTTATAAATGGAAATTATATATAATATATATTATATCGGCGGTGCGCTAACGTTTTTCTCTCACGTACGCTCATTTGAATTACGATGATGACTGTAACCTTAAACATACCGCTGGACTCATGAATTCTCTCGTTGGTAACTGGAATTTCTGACCGCAAACATTTGGACGAATGGACCGCTTTTGCTCCGAAGAAGTTAGAAGTTGATGCGAAAATGTGATCAACGCTGTGACACAGCAAATGCTATACCGCTCGTAGCGCATTAACTAATTAATAAAAATACAGGTACTCACCTACTTCACGCCTGTATTCTGACGGTGCAACTTCGAAGTCAGAAGCATAGATTGTACGAATTACATTCTCCGAGGCATTTACATTTGAGGTAAGTAAGGCGAATAATAGCCGTCCGCCGGTGATAAATAACAAAATACGTGGCGCGTCGCGAGGGGTTGCATATTAACACGTTGAAATGTCAGATGTAATATTTTTAATTATCGACGAAAGAGAGAGAAATGCACTTTTATTAAATGCAGGCTGTATAAAAGGCGGGCTGCGAATGAGTGGCGTGTGCTGTGCCTGACGCATCACGGAGCATTACTACTGCGGTGCGCCTCCGACGCGCTCCGGGCGGTAATAAACGCAGCGTTTATCGGCGTTTCTCCACCGAGCGACGCAACGTCCCGCTGTAAATGATTTTCCTTTCTTTTTTTTCTAGAATTCAAAGCCTTTATATAAAACAACTCCGTTAATGGATTTCACTTCTTCTCCTTTCCTCTCCTTCTCTTTTAACCGTTCGAATTAATCTCCGCGTGTCATCCTTGCACAAATTCCCCCGCTCGAGGATCTACGTTCGCGAAATTCGCGATACGGAAATCCCCGGATCAGTGGATCGGTGATCAGATAAAAGGGAATCGCGATGGAAGAGTGAATTTTCGACGAAACGCGGAGTGTCGGAACGTAACAAAGGCCGGGGCGCGTGATCAACGGCAACAATTGGGAATAATCAACGGCAGATTTACAAATTCATGGCGCAGCCGGAATACGCGTCACGTGAGAAAATAATTCAAGTGAATTAATTGACATCTCTCTCGTCTTGATGTAATTGTCGCATTAATCGTCAGATATATTCGAATCGTCGTTATTGTGGCCCGCAACCAATAAACGATGTGATCAACGATATCCATAATGGACGAGTAACGCTCAAATAAACAATTATCCTCTGTGCAACAGTCGTAGTGCAATTAAACAAATCTAAATACGGCCGTCGGACGAATTTTCGAACGAATATTGCTCCCGGGCGACATTGGAAGGCAACGTGAAAAGGTAAAAATTACGACGAATCCGCGAGAGCAGGATTCGTGGAAGATTCTGCGGATCAGAATTTTGCGCCGAGTTCCGCTTCTCGAAATATTTTCGTTCTCCGTAAAAAGGGATTAAATTTCCGCGAATGGGTAGGTTCACGCACACGCACGCACACATACACGCACGCATTGAGAGAAACTTGCGGCGCAGTCAAAATCCGCCGACACGAAAGGTTTTCCACACCGCGGTGTTATTCCGATCAAGGAGTCTCTTATGTTCCCTCTTATCACTGTATGCAGAGAGTTTCTCGCGAGTAATATAATCTCGATATGCTCGATATGCTGGAGGATATAAAAATGCGGAAATAAAAGGATAATGGCCGGATAATGGCGTACGCGAAGTCCCTTCGATAATGATTTCCACTTCGTTGTCGCCATTATCATTTATGCGTTATCGTAACGTGCGGTCGGGTTTCGCACGCTGAAAGCAGCGAGCGAGAGAGAGAGAGAGAGAGGGAAGGCGATAAAAGGGAGAATTCTCTCCTCCCCCTCTCGTTTCCCGCAACACTTTTCTCTCGCTCCAGCATTTTCCTCGCGCCGGTATATCGCTCTTCGCGAATAATTCTTACGGCCCCCCGGCGGAAGGCCAATAAAATTATCAATCAGCTGAAACTTATTAATTGGATAATTAAATGAAACTTTCAACGCGCAACACTCAACGCGGACCCGGTGGGATTTAATTAGGCCACGTCGGACGCGTAGAAAGTGTTCTAATCGCGCAGCGTGAAAGATATCGATGGATAATTTCTCTCACGGAGAGTTATTCGAAAGAAAGAGAGAGAGAGAGAGAGAGAAAGAGAGAGGGAGAGAGAAAAAGAGCAATCGCCCGGCAATTCTCTCGCGCGTATATTATCGTCGACCCTACGCGAGCCTCACACGAGTGTGAGGAGCGAACGAGGTGGTGAGGGACGCGAAGATAAGAGAGCCGGCGAAAATTCAAGAATCAGATTCCCCGCGGATTTGCATTCCGATCCGCTCCAGTCGCCGGAGATCGCAGCTTTTTTAATCCTCTTGCGGAGTTGCGCGCCAGAACTGCAATTCCTGGCCATATCATTAGACGCACTTCGATTCTTTAATAGAATACAGGTCAGGAGGGGAAGAAAAGCTACTAATTTTATATTTACTCGATTAGAATAAATTTTGGGAGGCGGCCCTTTCACCCTCTTCTTTTAATCGCCGCAATTAAGTACAGCCGCCGCCGGTCCTCATCATCCGGAAATCGCTCGGCTGCGAAAAGCTGCGATTAATCGCGGCGAAGCGCGCCCGCGTCGCGAGTAATTATATTCACGCGAGGAATCATAATTGTCGCCGGGCCGTGAATGGACCGCCTCCGTTCCCCCCCGGTGGGCGCGTCGCCCCCGAAATATTCCGCTCACGTCCGCTCTTCATCTTCGCCCTACATTCCGCGAGCCGGCGCCTTTCCTCGGGTACGCCCGCCGCTTCCGCGAGGAAACGCCGACGATAATTCCGCAACGTCCCACGGACTGCCGCCTGCCCGTGACAGGTGTCACCGACGCGCCGCGCTTAATTAGCCATTAGGAGCTGATACAATTGTTTATCGCCCGATACATCGGTCGCCCGTCCGACTGTCCGTTCGCTGTTAATTTATCGTCACCCGGTGGTAAAAGCGGCGTCGCGCGGTCCGCTGCGACTCTCGCGTCTTGGGAGACGAATTGGACGCGGCGGCGGGGAAAGCCAGTTGAAAATTTGACGGGAGATTTGCGATCCAGTTCTTTTTTACCCGAGCCTGCATGGAGAAATATAATTTCACCAGCGAAAGCATTATTACTGTCGCGTATTCGTTGCGACAACGATAAAATTTAGCTGGCATAATTAGCGAATTATCATCAAATTAGCGAATTATTCGTAATTAGAGCAGAAACAGTTTGCCAGGATAGAAACTATTCCGCTGAGTGAACTTGTGCCCCTTAGGGACACGTTAATCTACTGTTAGCACAAAACAATGTTTTCCTACATTCGCTGATTTATTCTTATAGAAAAATAATCTGTAAATTCAGTAAAATGACCCAACGGAAAGCAATTAGTAATCTTAAGTCGTTTTGCCGTCTACATAGCAATATATTTTGCTTCGATAGTATAAAATTTGCTGTGCCAACGAATTATTTTTCTCCGTGTGGAATTTGGAATATTCAATATTAAACATTACATTGTCCCCGTGTCTATTGACTTCGTGTTCGGAAAGGTGTATTTCAAGCCGGCCTGGTCGTGAAAATGGATAAATTACCACGAAATCTATGAAAAAAAGATCTATTCTAAGTCGTGGAATCTCACGATACATATTTCCGATAATATCGCCATTTAAAAAGAAAAGGAAGAATATAATTTACCAAATGTTTCGTATTGACTTCGTATTCAGAAAGATGTATTTCAAGCGGACCTGACCGTGAAAATTGATAAATTACCACGAAATCTCCATGGAAGGAAGATCCATTCTTAATCACGAAGTCTCAAGATACATATTTCCGATGATATCGTCATTTAAAAGAAAGAAAAGGAAGAATACAATTCACCGAATAGCCCGACGTGCGTGAGCCCGTAGTGAAATCCGCTCGGCACGTTGATAAGCGATCAATGAGCGGAAAGTTCTAAGCGCCCTGAGCGAGACTCGTCCAATCAAATCGCATCGCGATGGATGGATGGCGACTCACGCTCGGCGGCCGCGAACTTCCGGCCAGAGCCTTCGGAGCGGAGAGTTATTACCCGATTTAAAAGCCAAATGCAATCTAATGCGATTGCAACCGAGATTTAGACGAGTGTGCGAATCACGGGCGTGGAGGGGGGAGGGTGGATTCGCGCGCTGATCTATGCCGAAAGGGCGATCGAAACGCGACGATCGAGCCGCGGTGTGTAGCGCCGTGTTTGCAGTAGTCTCGTTAACGAGATCCCTTCATTTGCGTAATTAACTATCGACTTTCTGTCGGCGGCGCAGTTAGCCGAGCGTCCCGTCGATCGTTAATAGATTCCGGACGACGCGGACGGATTCGCTAAGAAACCGGCCGCGAACGCTCGGTCGTTTCGAGAATCGCCGCGCGGATTCCGCAGCTTGCGAAAGCGGCGCCGGAGTACCGGAGAGTCGCGCTTGCGTTTGAATTTCTTCGTAATCTTCAACCCGTCGCGGGATCAACTATTATTAACACGGGTAGGGGAAGGGGGAGGCTGCGTTAGCGCTACGTGAAATACGACGTTGTATTTCACCGCGGGTCGTCGTCGCATTACGCTCGCAAAATTACGTAGTAATGGGGCAGTTAAGGTGAATTTAACTACGTCGTTTCGCCGCCGGTGAATTATTTTAACCCGTCCGTTATTTCAACCGACGTTCGGCTCCTTCGGGCTTAAAAACGCGCTGGATGCTCGTGTTTTTAATCCAGCTGTCCGCTCGGACGACGCGCACCGTGTCGCAGGAGCTGAATCGATAACGCGTGTCCCGATATCGAAACTTCGTAAGGAATTGCTTAAAGAGTTGCTCGTTACGCGCTGCTCCAACTCTAAATTGCAAAAGTTGCCCCTGCACGGGCCATCGCAAGTTCAGCCGCGCACTCACTCTCCCGCGAACTTGAGGCCATCTCCTCAACAAAAGGCCGAATATCATCGGTCGTCGGAATGATTAATAATCGATGCTCTTAACAAATCTTTTTGCTGTCCAAACGAATCTTCTTGCTGTCGCTATACAGTGACAAAAAATCTGCCGTGCAAAAAACTTCTCTCTGCGAATATTTCACCGTTTTCACTCCTACACACGGTCGTTTTTAACCCGTTTTAGCCAGTCCTGTCAATTTTATGCTTGTATTCCCAAGCACACCCAGTCTATTAAACGGAGGAATATGACGAGTATGCCTGAGTATTTTTAAAGAGATCGCCCGTCTTCAATACTCGTTTTCCAGCTGATGAGTGACAGCACGCTAATACGTTCCTCTTTAACTCAGTTTCGCCTCGATACGGAAAGAAGCACGTTAAAGTGTCGTGCATTTATTCGTGCTATTTCAAAATCGTGCAATGTGAATGCCTTCGAATGTTAAATAAGTATTCTGCACTCGTAGTTGAATGTACATTTGCACACCTTAAATTTATACAGTACCGTACGAGTTTACTGTTCCAAGTACTCAATAGTACGTTAATACCATTCGGATATTCTCGTACGCAATCCGCTCGTTATTACGGAAAAGTGCTTTCCGACCTAAAAACGAGGTCGCGTTCACTCAGCCGAACGCACGCTTTCAATGCTCAAACTAACCGTTTGCGCGGGATAAAAACGGTGAGATATTTTTCTAAAGGTTTTCACGGGACGAAAATGCAACGAGAGAGCTCGAGAGGATTACTCGGTACATTTAGAAAATACTAATTATAGTAAAAAAAAAGAGAGAGAGAGAGAGAAGAGCTGCGAAACGACCGAATTAGAAAAAACGAGCAAAGAGAGCAGCGATCGATCGAGCAGGGAATAGAACGTGATATAAAATTGGCGTTGGTCAAACACGCGACACTGCACCTTTGAAACAACAATGTTCGCCCGTGAATAATGAAGATCGCAAATACGCGACTCGAATGCATAGAGCTCTTGGTTGTTTATGCAGACAGGATATAAACTCAGCCCTAATAGCAGCCATTTTAATTGTCGGAAACGTAATATCGCTCGGTGGAGGTGATAAACTCAGGCTATAAATATCCGTTATAGTTTACCCCCCCCCCCCTTGTCCACGCTCCAGCTGAGGCACTCATCTCTGCCCACTCGTTCAATTTTGAATTTAATCCGATGTGAACAAAGTCTAATCGCGGTATTGCGTGCACCAAAAGCGTCATTACGCGGTTTATCTCGTGTTACGAGATTACATCTGCATTATTATATTATTAATTAGTATCGTCGTATTATGTTGTGATTATCTGTATCTGCAACAAAGTAACCTGTGTGATTACACGCTCATATACGAACATGAGTTTAATGATAGAAAACAGAGTTATAGGAATTATATTCGAAGCTACGGCTCTTCGAAGCCTCGAATTTCTGAACCTTCGACACGTTACATTCGAATATGAAATTTCGAAGCGTGGAAATTCGAGCACATTGTTCGATAGTAACCGACGCTTTAAACTTAAATTTTGATTTCACTTCGCAATTATCCGCGACGGTTTTCGCCTCCAACCTCTCCGGACTCGCTGAGTTACGCAAAAACGAGATCCCATTGCAGGTTGTGCAATTTTCGCGAGAGACGCGACAGCTTTTTACCGTCGCGAACGCGACGGTTGGCAATAAACCGACCGTTATAAACGTTAATTTTATCTCTGTCTCATGTTTGCCATTCAATTCATCTTCCCGTTTATTTCCGTTATTTTATTATTCATGAAACGACACAAGAACTAGTCTCCAGTCGTCAGCGTTATAATTCCCGGCGAGCGAATTCCGGATTTCCGGAGGACGAAATCAACGAGAGAAGAGCGAAGTGGCCGTTAAATTCTACTGCAAAGTATAAATTTCAATTTACCCTCCTAATTACACCGTCTAAGTATAAATATAATAAATATAAAGCAATTATAAATTTCAATTCATCGTTTCAATTATGTGCCGTCAAACTCTCGCTCTCTCGGTCTTTCGTTTCGTCCGCAAAATTAAACGAGCGAATGAAGATTTCTGTATCGTCGACGCTTTAAAATTTCGACGAGTTTGTGAGACAGGCGCGGGGTTGACAATAAAGTTGACCCGTAAGTATGAATTTTAATTTATTTCCTCTCTGAGTTAAGGCGTGGAAGCTATCGAAGATGGACAACACGTCTTTGGCTAAAACGTCTTCACCTCTAATTACAATCGTCGGCGATGCGCGGTCGGCTGATCGGCGAGTGGCCGTCGGCAAGATTGGGATATCGCGATTCCTCCTCCGCTTCGATCAAAAATATCGTCGTTATCGTCGTCACGGCAATAAATTCGCGCGGCCGTCGCTGTTCGAGCTATCCGACCGCGCGGTCCCAACGCGCACGCGCGCAATCGAGCGTCATCGCGCCGGTGGTAATTACAAAATAGGAACTTTACGAACGCGAAACAAGAAGAAATTCTATCGTCAATCGTGTAGTCACGTTGTGTCACGTATATATATACGCGTGTGTGTGTGTGTGTGTGTATCCAGTAAGCAAGAAATCATTAACACAACATTATTACAATAATACTTTATAACACATAACGTTTTCAAATACGTAGTTTTTAATGTTGTACATAACGTCATTGTTAACAATATCTGACCCGAAGATTAAAAATAATATTTATACAATATGATTTTAATATTTCAGAATATTATATCACCAAGTAACAGTAGTTCGAAAACATTTATAAAATATTACGTTAAAATGTTTATAAAGTCCGCGTGAGATCGATGTTTCGAAAGATCGATTTGACGTTTCTTGCTTACTGGGTAAGTCGTTACGAGTTACGCGTAAACTAACCGCACCTCGTACTATTGATATACAAAACTTACTTGCGACGTTTTACACGTATTTACAGTTACTAATGTTATTTTAATCTACGTTAACGATAACGACAACTTATAAGTTATTATTAACAGATGCTTTGCGCGCGCGTGCGCGACGGAGTGTTCTCGGTACATTCGAAATTCAAACGTAATTGGCGTAATAATCGTATTATCCGAATATTCCTCGCACGAGATGTTCTCCGCTCGATCAGCCGAGCGGCGACGAGCGACGGCCCGGTCCAGCGTTTCTCGGATTTCCGATCATAGAAGAGAGACGCACACACACACGGCAACACACGCCGGTAATCATCGCGTCCGCTTACGTTAATTCTACGGTGTATCGGGAACGATGTCGTACGAGGGATCGATCAAGAGCGAGCTCATTATCCCCGCCTCTTGTTAGCTTGAATTTTCACCCGCCAAGACGGCACGAGCGTCCACCGTTCTTCGGCCATTCTGATTCTAAAGCGTCCAGCGTTGGATGCGGACGCGTCGCTCCATGCTGCTTCATTATATTCGCACACATCTCTAATTATGGTATTGATAATACGGTACTGAAGTAACTTTCAGCTGCACTCCGTAGAAACGCTGCGCGCTTTCATTCATTTCGTCGCGTGTCGGCGACCGGACGAGTCCTATAATCTCCCGATTTAATTAGTTTGACTTAGGAATATACATATATATGTGTACATATATATATATATATATATATATATATACATACATGCCTAGGCGTTCGCTTCTCGTCTTCGACGTGCGCGAGTTATGCGAGCCAACGATCGAAGGACCGAGTGAACAAAGAGGACGCATTACATTTTCCGCAGGAGCCGAGTCGTTGAATCATTATTATCGCGCGTTGAGTATCGGTTTAACGTCTGTTCAATTGGCTTTCAGAGAAGTTCGTACATTTACGAAAAAATCCTCTGTATCGTTCGTACGTAATTTTTCCGATTTCACGTTATCCGAGAATAGCATTGAAGATTTTAACGTGCGATCTGATACGCTCGTATTTTGGCTACGTGAGACTCTTAAAATCTTATTTCACGGCATTCTGGTGATTTACAGAGAAGTCGCATTGTGCCACATTTATCTTTGAAATGTTATTTATAAGTTAATTTCTAAATATACTGAAACACTGTTGAAAATTATTTCGCAAATCCAGAGAAAGAAGCTCAAAATTATCGATTTAAAATAACCGTTTCATTCGGAGAAAAAGAGAGAATTTTTATATCGCATTACCAGATACGTTATAAGTTTCAATCTGACTGAAAGATCAACAATGCGTAAATATTTGGAAGAGTTAACGACTCTATTCACCTGGCCCCTCAATCGTGAACGAGCGATCGGGCTCCAAAACATGCCCAATTGTGTCCCGTTCCAACGGTGTGATTACAAAAGAAAAAAAAGGGAAACCGATTGTAAAGCGACGAAGCATTTAATCCTAAATGGCGTATCAATCGAGACGTGACGAGCCATTAGCGGCGGTTGAACATTATTTTAACGCAGGTTACACGTATATAAAAAGTACCTTAACACCTGAGATACAATCGGATGTCGCGTGTCGTTCAATAATTCCCCTCCGGTGCAATGTCGCACAGTATCGTACGCGCATTATCGTCAGGGTATCGCGAAAAATCTTCTTCGGTGCGATACTGCCGTCGGACAATTAGTCCGAGCGCTTTTCGCGCTTCCCGCGCTTTCGCCCGAGGAATTTCTCGATCGTACGACTTCTTTTTTTGGAAACACGATCGCTCGATTGTAACAGTGAAACGTGATTGCGTCGAGCGTCAACGCAACTGCGGGCAATTGTCGTCGACACTCGACAGGTCTGTGGACGGCGTCCTGGTTGGAAACAAAAATAAAAAGAAAAAAAAAGGAATAGGAAGGAGAAACAAGGGTGGAAAATCGCGCGTTCGCACGATGAGGAATCAATGCCGAAGGTACGAACGGATTATCGTCGCTTTGTCAACTGACACTCCATTTGTCTTTTCCCCCTCGGTTATCGTCGAATGACGCCGGGGATTCTGCATTAGCCGCTTCATCGCACGATCGGTAATCGCCGAAGCCGGGAATTTCGGTCTTCCGCACGCGTCATCCGACTTCTTTTTCTCCGTCTTCGGCGATCACTCCGTGAGTCATGCGCGATGCATCTGCAATTCCCAGCTCTTATTCGTCTCACTTGCCACGTTGTTAGCGCGACGATTGGTCGCCGATTTATTCCCCCGTTATCAAGCGAAAATGATTCGACTTCTCTCCGCCGTCTCTCGGAAAAGTCTGCGAATCTTGAAGGACTAAATAACATCATCGGGCCGCGCGGTCGTGCGAGAAGCGGCGACTTGCAACGACAGAATGTTAGAACCGACGACATACTACCGGTGTTTGTAATATTACTGATCGTGCGGAAGAGATGTGACTCTAGTCATTCCGAATTCGCGTCGCTCGGCGCGGCGGAGCTTCGAATTGAAACTTTGGTTTAATCAACGTGCAGTCGTTTCATAAATCTCGCGTATATCTGCGCTCTGCGTATAAAATATATCGTTGAGATTAAGAGCGCACGGTTCGTATATTCACCCTCGAAAGGCGAATTTAAACGATTTACACTCGCGTATTACATGCAACGATTGATGTCATAAAACGTGTATTTTCGAAAATCCCGTAAATAAAGCGGTTTCAGATTTCGAAACGTAATTACGAAGCCAATATCGCGGCATCCCCGCGGCTGCTCGTTTTAACGAACGATTTTGCGAGATTAACGCTAATGTGTGCGCACCTTTAACATCGAGATCTGCATATTTATCGTTTCAAAGTCTTTCCAGCACGGGCGACGCGAATTGGCTCGCACGCTTCGCACCCTGCGACGCTTCCTTCGCCTTCAAGGACGAGCGGATTAAAAACCCCTCGGAAGTGTATTTCCCTTTTCCCTCCCCTCTGCACCTGTCGTGCGAGGTCGCGAAGGCTTTGGAGCGGCGAAAGAAAACGAAATGGAAAACTCTTGAAGAACGCGCAGGCTTTTCTCACACACTTCGCCCTAAATGTTCTTATTAAAGTTATTATGTCGTTTCGGAAAAAATTGGCAGTACGGTAGTAAATTGAAAGACTCAATTGTCATCATCCTCCTCTTCGTTTCGCTTGCCGTGTTGTCGTTTCCACGATTCCCATTGCTCTTGCTGTTGTTGCCGTTGCCGCTGTTATTACACACGTTTACAGCACCGTTGTCGCAGTCATGCTATTCGCTGCTCATTTGCACAATTCTTTTTGTTTGTTTTTCCTTTTTCTCTCTTCTCTCCCCCCTCTCTCTCTCTCTCTCTCCCTCTCTCTCACTCTCTCGTTGCGCGCCGACGAAGTAATGTCGCGAATCTGCAAGATTTCATTCGATTTCAACTCGAAATAAAATTACATTCCTATTTGAGCAGCAAACTCCATCTCGTGCGTCTCCCGATAGGAATGAATTTTATTTCCTTTTTATTCCATCGGGCTACACGCCAATTGTGGAGTTTATGGTACAAATGATTGCATTTGTCAAAATATAAAAATGCGAGCCTGCAGAAATTAAAATTTCACTCACGTATAAAACACTTATAAAAAGAAATAGATAAAATAATAGATCCTTTTTCTTTAAACGAAACGTACGTTTCCAAGTGTCACGACGAAACGATTGAAAATCGTGAATCTTTTGAGGGACAGCTATTAATTAACGTGTGACTCTATTGATTAAAATGAACCTTTAATAATCACGGTAAAGGCAGGCGAGAAAAATTAGCAATCACGCGGGGGAATAGCTGAAATTCGCGAGATTCTATCTCGGCGCGCAAATTCCGCACGCATACACGCACAGACAAAACACACACGCACGGACAAAACATACCCGCACTATGAATCACAACACCGATAAAAGTCTCTATTCAATTTTTTTGTTGTTTTATTCTTAATTGCACTCTTAACTTATATTAACGATTTATTGATCAATTACAAGCTAGAGCTCACAGGACGATCGACTGCGTCGCGGCGCACCGCGTCGTCATTCTCTCTTTCTCTTTCTCTCTCTATGTCTCTGACGTCATACCTAAATCTACGTCAGAGTGATAACTAAATTAATGAAAGTAACTCGACGATGTCATGTTCGACATCGATTTTACGCGAAAATACGTCTCTCCCGGAAACGCCGAATGGATGCTTGTTGCTATCAAAATTACGACGGCACATGTAACGGCGTGTTTCGTGAGAATCCCGAAAAGTAAGTATGTAGTACAAGATTAGTCTAGAAATAATTCCATAAGCACGTAACACCAGTGAGAAGAAACCACGCAATCACGTTCAGCGTAATAACTCCGCGCGACACCCCGATTTCCATCCGTGATTCCCGCCGAGCAAATACAGAGCGATAACGCGATTAATACAATTCATCGAATATAAACGTGAAAAACGTCTGGGAAAAAGTACGTGTTAAACGCGCATATGTGTACTACAATTTTTATTGAAATTCAGAGACGAGTGTATATGTGTGTATGTGTGTATACGTATGTGAGATTCGGTGATTGATGCTTATCGAAGGACGGCCGCGTTCAGCGTTTCGAAGCTCGAGAAAACTCCTGTTTTTGTTTCGCAAGTGTTTGGCACACGCAGGAAAAGCATATGTCGTCCCGCGAATAAATTATCGATAAAAATGCAGACGAGGGGGGATGGAGAGGGTCGCGCGAGCACGCGCGCGATCGTACGTGACGGATGAAATTAATTATTAATGTCTAATCCTGAAAATCCATGCGACAATCTTCGCTATATATATATATATATATATATATACATACATACATACATACATACATACATACATACATATATATATACCTATCCTTTTTCCACCTGTAGTTGGCGCGCATTCTCTAATTAAATTGCCGCGTTTTTTTCGACCGGGCCTTTTTCGTCGGGTTTTTCGACTCAAATATAATTCGGCGCTCTTTTCACTTGTACGTATATAATCATTTAATATATATCTATATATATATATCTTTCTCTTTCTATTTTTCTCTTTCATACGGCTTTTCACGCACTCAGGCACGCATTCTAGTTCGGAACGATTTAGAATTTATTTTATTGCGCGACGCGAGGGTGCTGCAAATAAATGTGTGTATATGTTGTGTGTGTGTGTGTGTGATTGTATAACTGTGTGAGCATGTTATCTGTGAGTGAACTCTTCACGTCCATGTATCGTATACGTGTGTTTGTGTATCTCGTGTGTACATGTCCTCCCTGTAATACGTATATATAATATATTTCTCCCTCTTTTTTCCTCGCATATTTGCATTTGTAATATAATATAATCTTTCTATACATATTTATATACTCTCTCTTTCTCTCCGCGCGTTAATCTTCCGTTCAACGGTCGAGTCACGCCGTCAATTGCAAAGGTTTTCTTTATTACAGACACAACAGTGTTATGTGTGTGCATCTTCACCTCTTCTCTAATCCTACCCCTCCTCCTTCCCGGACTTCGCGGATATTTACATTGCACATTGCGTTATCGTCGTTAGACAAATTCCGTTGCACGCCCAACAACAGCCAATCTCCCTTTTCACTCCCACCTTCGTTCTTGCTCCGGCTGCGCATCCGGTCGTGTCGGTCGATTGTCCGCGATATGTGGCAGCGTCGTGTAACCTCGAGTATCCCGATCATAAGTAGTCTAATTAACACGACGCGCTTTGATGCCTCATAACGAGTTTATTTTGCCAATGACGCCGAATTTAATAAACGGACGCATCGTAGGTTTTCTCGAAATGCCTTGAGAAACTTTTTCAATTTAATACATATATATGTATATATTTTTTTTTCTATTAATTTATATATCAATGTCGCACTGCAAGAGGCAGAACGGAAGACTATGGAAATTTCTGGTGGCTACGTATACTAAATTAAAGTTGTTTTTCGAAGGCTTTCACGAAGTTATTAATAACATTTCAGATATCTCTTCTTTCCTCCATCCGACGTATCGTGATCTTCTCGATACACAAAGTATCTCTCGATATACAAGATGCTCTTTGCAGTCGCGATCGCCTCGGAAGAAACGCGGAGCGTAATGGACAAAGGATACTCCCCTTGTTTCCAACGAAATTGTCGTGCCGCTCAAAGAGAATCTCCGAGTCGCGAGGAGCCCGAGAAAGCGGACGATCGATCACCACGACCAACGAGCAACGATAACGATAACGCCGTTAATAATAAACGATCGAACGATATTTCGATTTAATTAATTACCGCCTAAGAGTCCTCGCGATCGCGACTGACGTCGGCCGCGAGGCTTTGAAAGAACGAGGGCATCATCTTAAGTTAGAGTACAAAGGTACATAGGTCCCTACCTCCATTTCTTTTTTTTTATTATTTGTTTCTCTCTTTTTTTTTTATACGTTCGCTCGCGTAACTCGCGCCTCTTCCGACTCACGTCGCGCCAAGCCGTCTTGCAAATAATGCTCGCGCTCTCCATGTTGATCTCTGAGCGACGTAACGCACGAAGAATCGGGATAATTTGTTGTTTGATAATATTTCGATAACTCCGTCGATATCGTCGAATTAATTTTAAACATTTCGGACGAAGTATATGTGTATTCTCGAATTTACCAGAATATCATGCATGTGTCAGCGATATCTCGAATAAAGGATTTATTTGGGAATTCTAAATGCGCGAACTCCACCAGAACGAAAGAATCGGCCGCACGATAATTTGAGAACGGAAAAATGGTAGACAAATAAATATTTCGTGAGATAAAATTTAAAAGTGGAATATCGCACGCGTTTGTTGTGTCCTCGGGTTGTACAATTTAGCGTCGTAATCGGTAACAAAGGGGAATACAGATCGCGAGCTTATCGCAGCAAAATGTGAAATTCACCGTGCCGTCTTCCTTCGCTCCGTAAGCTTCGTCCCTTATCGTCCTTCGCACTAATTATTTGAACGCAGTCTCCTTCGAGTCTAAATCATGATATTCGCGTACAGCTCTTTATCATTAATGTCCCTGGCTTTGTATTTGCATTTGATATGTTCCGTCTCTCTTTCTCCGGACTTCGTACTGTCCTCGGTACTTCCCGTACGACGATTCTGTCGATTTGTCAAATGAACAACAACTATCGAAAATATTCTCACAGAAGTGAATGTTTGCATGTATTGGATGCGTCAATTTTCCCTAAAATAGAAATCTGATAATTCGTAAAATGACGAAGGTACCACATTTTACAAGACCGTCTCCCTATTTTGTAACGACATTTAAAAATAGCAATACTGATAAACGTCGCCCACACAAGTGGGATAAAAAGCGAGATTCAGATGCAACGTGCGCGAATAAACATTCGATTACGTATCGTGTAATTTCAGTCGAGAGCGCTCGAGTTTCACTGGGAAGCAGTTACACAACAAAGCATGCTGAAAATTATCAGATCGGTATGTAATTGCTTAACGATCAGAGCACATTTATATACGTATACAGTTTCGTGTAGCTGCGTACATTATACATATACATATTATATATATATATATATATATATATATATATATATATAAAATACGTATTAAACACCATCGAATTTTCATGTATTAATTCGCCGAGACTGGATAGGCACTCGAGAGTTTCGCTCTCCAAGAGGAGCGTTCTTCGATCCTACGGTAGTCCAGATCACGGACAGTTTTCATTCCCCGGCGGAAACTCTCGATGATGATGCGAACTCTTGAACAAGAGAAAGGAAAGAAAGAAAGAAGGAAAAAATGGACTCCGTATTTTGCGCCTCCGTTTACCGCTGAGTGTGCGACGACGTCGGTTGCGCACGTCGTCGCGTGGTATAAAAATAGCATTCGGCGCGTGAGAATTCCGGCGGGTTAACGGAACGATTATCCATCCACGGATTCGTAACTGTCGCGTATTGTATCGTAAGCGTCAAGAAGCGCGAAGCTGGCGCGTAAAACGCGGCCGTTGAGGCGCGCGACTAAAGAGTAAACTACTAATTCCCGCCGTGATTAATGAACCCTTTGAATCCGTTCAAACAATCGCTGTATGTGTGTGTGTGTGCGTGTGTGTGTATGTCCGTGTGTGAAACAAAACGCGTTCTCCGTTCATACTCTCTCTCTCTCTCTCTCTCTCTTCCTCCGAAGTCGGAGAAAAAAGAATCGAAAGAACATTATTCAAGGGACGGCCTGACGCGAGTAGTAAGCGCGGCGCGCGGCGAAAGGACCCTCGAGAACTCGATCCCGCGCACGCAGGACAAATCCCGTATAATTCCGCGATCCTAATTGCAATCACTCAGCCACACCTGGGTCGCCCATCTCTCTCGCAAACTCGTCTACGTCGCCGGCGCGATTTAACCGATTAACTCGATTAATCGCTGCCGCCGGCCGGCGCGGCAAACAATTGAAGCCGCCGACGACGACTTCCCGCAGGAAAGACTTGACGCTACCCCTCTCTCTCTCTCTCTCTCATTCCTTTTCCTTCTCTCTTTCCTCTTCCAACGGAGATCGATCCAGCGTGCGACCGAGCGCGTGTACGAAGTGCCGCAACAACGAGGACGTTGCGAGAATGTGACGGCCTTTCTGTCGAACGGAAATCCGCGAATTGGCGCAAATTCCTGACGGAATTGCGATCACAGAGGGTGAGCCGTCGATCCTCGCGCTCTTCTCGAGGATAACGATCGATCCCGTTGTATCGGCCAGGCGACGCTTGGGTCTCGCGAGAGAGACCGTTTCCCTCGTCGTTGATCCCGTCGTCGAGATCCCTGTCGAGGAAACGAACGATCGCTATTCGTCCCTCCGGGCGGCGAATCGATCCGAGCCCGAGAGATCGGCGGATACACGACGCCGTTGAACTTGACGACGATCCCCCATCTCGCGTGGCGTCGATGCGATCACGGCTTGGTTTTATTACTGAAATTAAAAACCCCCCGAAAGGAGTGTTCATAGCCGCGCGCGCTAAACGAGCTCGAGGAGCTTAATGGTGGAGAACCGCATCTGCCGTGTTCTCCGTGCATCTCGCGACAAGTGTATGATGATTGAAGGAGCGAAAGGCGAGTATTCGATTCCCGATCAATTTTTATCCTGATTACACAATTATAGCGATGTACTGACGCATAAATTAACGCAGAATCAACGAGATTGCAATTAGGTCGGCGTAACGGCAGCGTAATCACTTCGAAGCGATTAAAGCCGACATCGATTCTCCCTCTATTTATTATTGTTGAGATTGTTATTGTCATTGAAAATTGTATCGTGCTGAAAATGTAAACGTCTCGTTAAATAACGACCGCGTCCGATTTTGCTGAAAGTACAAATAGATCTATAAATTTGCCGTCGTACATGGAGAAAAAGGTTGTTTTGGATTTAATTACGTGTCTGACTTGGACTTGTTTAATATAAACAACATAATTTAAATATATCGCGCATAATTTAATATCAAATATCATTTTGTTTGAATGAAAATGTTGCTTCGTTAGAATAAACCATATTTGATAGAGAAAAAAAATAGTATTATTTAGAAGGAATAATATTTGGCTTTTAATAAAAAAAGATTTATTCGTTATATATTAAATACCGTTCCACTGAAACACACAAAGAAGATCTTTAATATTGTTTTCTGACATAATGTCTTGTTTCTTTGGAATAATTTATTGTTTGCGACAGGCATTGTAATATTTGAATGAAAATACAAAAGAAATATCTCATTTAATGTAAAGATATTTATTGCCTGAGAAATATCTTTACACCAAATGACATATTTCCTCCATTTCAAGAGACACAAATTCGCTTTAAATAAAGAAATCTAATTAAATCCAAAGAAATCTTCTTCTCCGCGTATAATATATAACGCGGAGAGGTTAGACATGGCATGTATAATCGCTGCTCGGAAAAGAAAATGTTTTCGCGAAAGAAGAAACGTAAATTTATAAATCCCGTGCACGCGCGGCCGTCTTGTTTCTCTCTCTCTCTCTCTCTCTCGAAATTACTCGATTCACTTATAAAACGCGCGCGTCGCCGGAAATCCCTCCGCGGGTCACCGAAAGGAGATTGCTTTGTCGTAGTTCGACTCGCACGAGCGTCTGGATGAAACTAGGCCGCTGGGAGAGAGCCGACGCAAATCCGGAAAAATTGCCTGCACTCGGTGTTCATCCGGCAGCCTCCTCGGAGCGGCGAGCGGCCTGTCCTGGGCGCATCGCGCCGTATTTCAAGGTGGCAAACGAAGCGGACGTAATCTCGGAAAATTGTCTTACGCCCACTGGCCGATCATAAATCACCTTTCCTCCCGACTTGTCCCGATCACTGATCCACCTCCGAACGATTCGATTGGTTTGCTCTTCGGCACGATCTCACCTTGCCTGTCGTAATAAAGGAGAAAGAGAGAGAGAGAGAGAGAGAGAAGACAGGACAAGGCTCCGAATGCGGAAAGGTCTTAGAGGTCAGGCGTCCTTTGCGAAAAGCTCGCGAATTTCGCGAAACACGCTGGACACGTCGTCTCTTTGTAGGATTATAAAATATTACGATGAATACACCTTCTTAGAAGGAACGTATTTGAATTAACGATCACGCCCAAGTTCTCGCATTAACTCGCAAGGCCCGCGCAAAGAGAAATCAATTCACCCGGCGACGGCGAACCTTTCGCTCATTCGTCGAACGAATAAATCTGCCCCGATTCTGACCGCGGAGAATCGGAGCGGCTCCGCTCGGTAATGTTTCAATCATCATACCGCACTTTCGGCAACGCGTGGGAAGATCGCTCGACACTCGAGGGTGGTAGTGCGAATCGCCGGAAGTAAATGCGATACTCCGCATTAGTAGCGTGTGAAATCGACTATATACTCGCAATCGCGCGATGCGCGTAATTTAACGAGTGCTACACAAGCGTCGCACAGCCCGGGGACACATTCGAGTTGATTGCTTCCGAAGGCCCGTACACGCACAGCGAAGCGGATACGACGCTTACTCTTTTCTTTTTTTCGGCAGGAAACAATGTTATTTATAAAAAGAGAAAAAAAATTTCCCCGTCGAGGAAAATTCTCCCTCCGCTCTTTTCGTTTTTCATAACATTGAAAACTCGACGACTCTTTCTGAGTCACTCGCAAAATTATCCCCGGAGACTATTTAAAACGATATCGAATTATCTTCTGCTTCTCGGTACGTGTCACGTGTGGAAAATTCATCGGATATCAACTTATCTTCGTCGCGTGCCAGAATACCCCCTCTCGATCAAGTCGAAATTCGACTGAAATTAAATAAAATCGCACGTTTCCGCTGACCAGCTCTCGATCGATATTTTGCACGGAGCGCTTCTAATCGGCACAAGTTCGTGAAAGACGAACAAGCGATTGTTCTATACCTCGCGACACCCTTTTCCTCCCTCCCACGGCGACCTTACTTATATACGGGGCCTCCGAAACGATCGAAAATCGCGCGCAGATACGGGCCATAATTTCAAGTTCCACGACTACTTCCGGTGGTTCGCGCTGCGGCTGCCCTTTAAAGATCCAAGTGATTGGTGGCTCACCGTTGCTTCGACCGTGGCCGGCCGTGGTTCGTTCATCGGGTTCAGCGAGCAGGCAGGTTGTGGAGGAGGACGGCGGTGAATATTTTTATTTTTTTTTTGTTTTTTTATAGGTGAGTGGTGGTGGTGTGGTAATGCGTGGCGGCGCATCGCGCACACGGACGATCGTGATAGGTATTCTCGTGATCGTCGTAAACGGTTCAAGCGGTCTCCGATACCGGGAGCGGTGGCTGCCCACCGGAAGTAGTCATGGCGGGCGCGGTGTTGGCGGTGTTGGTGGGGACCGGAAGTGGCTGTAGGACCTGCATGTCGCAGGTGTGGGAACCGCGCTTCTTTAGGTCCTGGAACAAGTGGCATTTCGGACATGTTTGAATTTTTCACCCTCTATCGCCCACCCATCTCGCCTCGCTACTTCTCAACGTCATTTCGCTCTTTCATTCACTTCCGTTCTCTCCCCCTCTTTCTCTCTCTTTCTCTCCTTCTTTTTCACTCTCTTGCTCTCTCCCTCTCTCTCTCTCTCTCTCTCACACACATATTTCCTTTCTCGCTTTCTCCTTTTTTCTCAAACCTCCTTTCACTCCCTTTCTCTCTTTCTCTCTCTCTTTCGCTCCCACTTCCTCTCCCTCTCTTTCTCTCATTTTTACATCCTTTCGCAAATTTTCTCGCTCACATCTACACTTTCACCGAATTTTTTACTCTAACTCTCAATCGTTCTCTAACTTCTAGAATCAGACTAAGCAATTACACTACATTTACCCTCCGCTCCCCCTCCCCTCTCTCGCCCGCCACTCTCTTCACTCTTCGCTCTCCTCGGGAGAGAAAAGCGATCTTCTCACGGTCGACCCGAGAGATATCGATCGTGCGACCTCACGTATCCGATTCGGAGGATCAATGGACCTCGACGATCCGCGGTGATTGGAGATGAATCGATGCGACTGGATCGATCGACTTTCGAACGATCCTCCCTCGCAGGACGCGTGCAAATCTCCCGAGGACGGGGGAGTCGGGACGAAAATTTCGGGGCGACTTTCGAAGAGCCCTCGAAGAGCGAAGAGAGATCGAGAGGCGAGGGACGGGGTGCAGGAGGTGAGGCGAGAGAGACGAAGAAAGAACTGTTTACGCGTGCACAGAGAAGAAAGAGACATGCGACAAACGGAGATACAAAGATACAACGAGAAAACGGGAACTATCGAGAGGAAACCAGGATGCGAAGCAAAACAACAAGACAAGGAAGGAGAGTAACAACAACGACAATAACAATGTAACAACCATGACAAGTAAACAACAAGAACAGTCATTCCAATAGATGTAGAACGCGAAGGTGGAAGGAGGTAAACGGTGCAGGGCCGAACCAAGACGTTCCGCCGGTGTCAAAACGGAGCGCGCGTTCGTCGGTTGGTTGTTGATGTGTGCGCTCGCATTACGCAAATTAACCCCAAATATAACGCAATTCGCTCCTCCGCGTGCGAAATTAACGCGTCTCGCTCTGCGAGCGCAGCACAGACCGCGAAATTTATGACGGAGATGCTGAAGATCGATACGTGCTCTTGCCCCGGAAATTTCCGCAATCTTGAATTCTTCAAATAGAAATAAAGTCGCCGCCCAGTACATCAATAGTTTTTCTTTCTTTTTCTGGAGCGCTATGAAAGTGTCAAAGTGTGTTGTTCCGATATTGGCAATTCCATTAGACTACGCGAAATCGTAAAAGGATGTAAAAACCAAAATAAAAATCGCTATCGTTTAACCTCCCACTGCACTGCTTAATCGTTTAACAATTTCATTCCCCAGTCAGGATAATTTAAATGTAACGCATTCAGGAAGCGTGCAACGGTGATTGGGGGAAAAAAAGGAGCATGAAGAGATCCATGAATATGAATTGACATGAAAATATAGAACATGCGATAAATCTCTGTTTGAAACGCCATCACAATCTCCGTGTGATTATGCCGTGTCGCAAACTTCCGTGCGATATACAAATTATTACACCCACGATTTCCTCCGTTTGCTCGCGATGTGTCATGTGAACCCGAATTTATAATCTAAAAAAAAAAATCAAAATCAAATGAAATATAGCGGTACAATATAAATATGTAAATTCTTCGCTGTCACTTAGCCAAGGAAGAAGGCCGAGATCGGCGAGGTTCGCGGATCTTCGGAAATCGGGACGTCCGCAGGACCGGCCCTGCGTTCGCCGTTTGCGAGACGGATGGATCGTATCGATCAAATTTCGACAGCGAGCCGCGGGCATGCGAGAGGTGCGTGACGAAAGTCTTGCAAGCATACAGATCGTAAATCGAACAGTCAGTGATGATGTCGCACAGCGTTACAGCAAGCGGCCGTCATACTTTACGTCGTCCCTAAGTAGAGTTTTACGACTCGTCCTGGCAGCGTGATCCCTCTTCTAAGTTCGGTTAATCGCAGCCGGCTGTATCGCGTGCGATTAATGCGTATAACCGCGGCAAATCGACCTTATCGCGTCACGTTTAATTACGCTATTAGTAACGGCGCCGGTGCAATCGATTTCGCGATTCCGCGAACGCGCCGAGATAACGATCGGTGTTACGTGGCGGGCGGATAAAACGGAGCGTAATTGATCGTATTACGATTTCCCCGTCTTTCATTTCGCGTGTCTATGTGCGGGATAAAATCTCCGCGCCAATTCAGGACTCTTGGTCGGATATGCGCGGTGTGTGAGAGTTTTCGAGACGGCAGAGCAAAATTTCTCGCAGGGATACAGTCGGAGGATTTCATCGGACGGCTGATGCAACTTCCTTGGAGCTTTCTCGCATGGCTGCGAACTTAACGAGCGAGATCGACAACACCAGAGTGCTTCTAATCGGAGTGGCGACACGCGAACACCACGTTCCGCCAATTTTTCGACTCTATTATTTACTGAATTTGTATTTTCGTTTGAAAAATGCTGAAATTAAAATAGAAAATATTCATACTAAACGTGTAAACAAATTGAAGAATGGGAATTACATACATTAATACATCTTCAGTCAACTTACGATACAGCTGACTGAGATATTACGGCTGCGTTCTTTTCGGGCGCTCACATGCCGTCATTCTATCCTTGTTGTTCGTTACATGTCAAAAGAAGATAGAATGAGTTTGCAGCGTGTGAACGCCGAAAGAGAACGCAGCCTGTATGATAGACAGAGACCGCACGTATTTCTTTCTCTCTCGCGCAATTTCGATGAAAAACAACGGGACCCTCCTCGAGTCGCAACTCTGATTAGATACACTCTGGACAACACCTGCTTCTGTACAGATTGATTTCACGTTTTCGCTTAGTTGTTAATAGTAGCGAAGAGGACTCAATTAGGAACACTTGAAACTTTAACTAACGTTATATCTACGTCACGTCTCTTATTTTGATCCGCGTGTGTCGATTTCACGTTTCTTATTCCCTTCCTTATTCGCGGGCTGGGAACGTTTAAAAATACCACGCCACGTGGAGAAAACCCGGAGATCTACCTCTTGCGTGGGAAATCCACATGCAACGCGGATATTTTTAGATACATCCCTCAGGCACCGAAGATGCCCTACTACGTTAATACCGCCGTTGATCATTCGCGTTTGAAGATGCGCTTTGTAAGAAAACAAAGTTACCGACAATATCCATGTAACACCGCGACGAGACAATATTTCACACCCCGGGAGAAACGGCCCCGAACAAGACAAACAACGAAGATAGTCTGATTGCCCCAAACGTATTTTATGCCCCGCGCGTTACGTCATACTTATCTCTCCCTCGAATTCTCCTTCATCCAGTAAAAACAAATAATACCGTTTGAACACTGTACGACGTTCGCGTGATCATTTTCACACACAGCAGTATAGAGAGAATAAATTGCGGTATGATAATATATTAACACATTGCCAAGTTGATCTCGAATAGAACTATTCTTTTCGAGATAATTATTGATCGACCTAAAGTCTTTATGTAGAAAAAATTATTATTGTTTTATATGTCGCCGTACAAGAACCGTAATTAGGCTTTCGAAAGCTCGTTATGTCTCTTCTCGGTTAGTCATCCCCACAGAGCCTACATAAAATATATGTTCATTATTTTTACCTTTAAATTTCATTTCACAAAAAAAAGTGCTAAAATCAAATAAATGTAATTACCTGTTTTTCAATCTCTCAAATCAAATAATATTTTTATCAATTTAAGTATACTTTAATGGCTTATGGTAAATATTTACTTGAACGCAGTAATACATTAATTTGTAAATAAATTATTGAATGTAAATGTAAAATGATCCTAAATTTCAGAGAACATTTACTAGAATTATGTAATATTTTGCTTTCTTAAAGAAATGATTTTAAATCTCGACTTTCCTGTCCAGTAAATATTTTTAAAACTAAATTCTGATATTCTCAATATCACGAATTTAACACTTGCCCCAACTGTTTTCATACATACGAGTAAATGTCCTACTTGCACAAAGGAAATATGATATCGTATTGTTTCCAAAGCCTGGCAATTCGCTCAGTTGGCAACGCGTTAACAAGTTTTAAAATTGCCGCAGGACGTCTCGAGACCTGCCGGCAAAGATAAATGGAGAAAGGCGCGCGCGTTGTTGAACCACAAAAATTTTGCGCCGTTCAGCTCGCCCGCCTACCCGTCCCTACGGTCCGTACGACTGCATTCGCGCGAACTGCAATGCAGTAGATTCGCGACGAATTTAAGGCGCGCGCGGACCTCCACGCGACACGTGGCCCTTAATCCCTCCGATCTCGCGATGGAAAAGCGTCCGGCCCAATAATTCCTCCCTGAGCGCAGGATAATTCCTAGCCGAGGCGACGCGCCGCAGTGCAGTCGCGCCTTGCATGCACGCACGCGTGAGCGCGCCACTAAATCGTGACGTGTCGCGAGGTCAAGCGCGTGTATCGAATGGAGCGCGGCTGAATGCAGCGAACGTGGCGTACATATTCGAGTATGTACCAGGCACGTCTGAGAGAGCGGCGATTTTACTAGCGATGAAATTTCCGCGGGCATTGGAAAAGCGAGTAAAGGTAAAATAGAGCCGACAGTGGTCAAGAGAATAGTTCAACTCGCGAAGTGCAGTTCGAGCGGGACAAAAGCGGTGCAAATTTCTTTCTCCTCACGTTCGAGCAACGTACACTTGAGAAAGAGATTTCGTCAGATCTCAGAAATTTCATCGCATCCGAACAAATTTTATCACTGGCATGCTTCAAAGAAACTAACGTATCGATTAATCAGTACGATTGTTAGACTTTCCAACGATGTATCTTTGTCTTAAATAAAACATTTGCTTGCGCGTCTATCAAATGAAAGAAGATTTTCTTGTGAAGAAATTATTTGCTTAAT